ATCATTGTTATTATTATCGTTATCATTATCGTTATCGCTATTGTTATTTATTTATTGTTAATATATTATTAATGATATGAGTATCATTATCCACATCACTATTATTACCAATTTTAGAATATTATTATTGTCGTTGTGATTATAATTATCATTATCATTTTTGTTTTTGGTATTATTTTTTATTAGTTTTTATCATTGATGTTTATTCTCATTATTATTGTCATTATTTCTATTGTTATTATAATATTTTATTATTATTATTATTATTGTTATTCTCATTATTATTATTATATTATTATAATTATTATTGTTATTATATTATTATTATTTATTATTATTGTTATTATTGTTATTATTATTGTTATTATTATTATTATTATTATTATTATCACCATCTTCATCATCCTTATTATCATGATAATGTCATTATTATTATCATTACTATCGTTATTTTTACTATTACTATTAGTATGATTATTTTATTGTTATTTATTCTCCTTATTATTATACTATTATTATCATTATTGCCTTATTGTTGTTGTGTTATTGTTGTTGTTATTGTTATGATTTTGTTGTTGATGCCGCTGTTGTTGTGATTATTAATGTCATTACTATCATTATCATCATCAATATAAAATCCATCATCAACGTCATCATCAATATCTTTCACATCACTATCAACTCGCATAAAGCATTATCCTCATCATCATTATTAACTTCATCATCATTAACTTTTTTCCCGCAACAAAAACGATTTCATCATCTTTTCTTTATAAACAATAACAACAACAGACAAATACATAAACAAAAAATGCAGTCGGACCTGAGTTCCAGTTAATGACATAGATTTCTGTTCTCTCTCTTTGCATTATTATTTTTATCTATTTTTTTATCTTTTATTTATTTACTTATTTATTTATTTATTTTTTTTTGCAAGATGGACGTCGAAGAAGAAATTGGAAGAGTGAGAGGGAAAGAAGGGGAAGAGGTAGTGGTAGTGAAGGAGGAGGAGGAGGAGGAGGAGGAGATGGTGGCGGTAGTGTTGATGGAGAAGGAGGAGAAGGGGGCGGAAGAGGAGGAGTAGATGGAGGAGGAAGAGGAGGAGGAGAGGGAGATGGTGGTGGTAGTGGTGGTGGAGAAGGAGGAGGAGGAGGAGGTGGTGGTAGCGATGGAGGAGAAGGTGGCGGTGGTGGTGGAGGAAGAGGAGGAGGAGGAGAGATGAAGAGGAGGAGGAGGAGAGATGAAGAGGAGGAGGGAGGGGGGGAGGAGGAGGAGGAGGAGGAGGAGGAGGAGGGAGGAGGAGGAGGAGGAGGAGGAGGAGAGGAGGAGGAGGGGAGGAGGAGAGGAGGAGGGAGGAGGAGGAGGTGGTGTGTAGTGGTGGTGAAGGAAAAAGGGAGACGAGGAAGAGAATGGGAGGAAGAGAAGATGAAGGAGAAAGATGCAGGAAGGAAGGAGGGAGGAGGTAGAAGTAGTGGAGGTTGAAGAAGAAGATTAGGTGGACAGAGGAGGGAAATATATGAGGAAGAGGAAGAGAGAGGGAAGAAAAATCACGGGAGGGAGAAAGATTAAGCGGAGGAGGAAGTGGAGGTGGGTGAGAAAAGAAGGAAAGGAAGAGGAGGAGAGAGAAGAGGATTCATGGCTGCTGTGTGCTCTCTTTTACCTCTCTCTGTCTCTCTCTCTCTCTCTCTCTCTCTCTCTCTCTCTTCTCTCTCTCTCTCTCTCTCTCTCTCTCTCCTCTCTCTCTCTCTCTCTCTCTCTCTCTCTCTCTCTCTCTCTCTCTCTCTCTCTCAGTCTATCTTGATCTTTCTATTTCTGTCTACATTTCACTCTGTGTGATTCTGCTTGCATATCCTGGCTATTTGTTTGTCTGTCTGCTTATGTCTCTGTGTTCGGTTTATACTATCGATATATTATATATATATATATATATATATATATATATATATATATATATATATATATATATATATATATATATATGTTTGTGTGTGTGTGTGTTTGTGAGTGTGTCTACATACATGTGCATAATTATTCCATGCTGAATGCTGCATTCAAAATTTGACTATGTCGACGCACTTTTTACCACGGCCTTTTTTCTTCCAGAAATGGGTGAGGACAAACAACCATGTCAAACCTTACGGTATTTGTATCGCTTAATCTCGTTTTTCTAACACGGCTCGTTGCATGCGTACTACACGAACTAATTAAATGATGTAAAAAAAAAAAAAAAAAAAAAAAAAAAAAAAAAAAGCGTGTCACAGTCACGTGAAAAAAGCAGACAAGGAAAACGAGAAGCAAAAAACACATATTATGCGGCGATGTTGCAACATGTCTTTCGCTCGAATGTCCGCTTGACAAAGGACCCGAAAGGGATTTAAAAAAAAAAGGTGTCTGTGATTATGCTTTGTCGTCTGGCTTCCGAGGCGGGATGTTTTGTTTGTGCCGAGTGTTTGTCTTTTTTGGGGTCATAATTCTGTGTGTACGTGTGTGTGCGTGTGTTTGTGTGTGTGGTTTTCCTACATACATAAACACATACTCAAACACACACACACACACATACACACCCACCCACACACATACGCACACACACACACACACACACACACACATACTCACGCAGAGCGACTTCACATGCATAATTACAGAGTTTGACCGGCCCCTGAGCAATATCCGTATCCCTTATACATACTAAATCACAATGACCCTGTATATACTCAAGTGCCACCCCTCATCCCCTGTCCCTACCCCTTCTGAACCCCGGAGCACCTCCCCTCTCCTCCTCTCCCTCCCGCGTACTCAATTAAACCTTGGGGTCTTCTCCCCTCTCCCTTCCCTCCCCCTCTCCCCTCTCCCTTCGATAGCCCAGGGGGTACTCTCTCCTCTTTCACACTTGGCTACTCTCCCCTCTCCTCGGTCCTACCTTTCCACCTTCGGCTACACCTACTACCTCCCTAGGGCTACACCTCGCTCCCTCTTACCTTTCTACCTTGCTTCTTAGGGCTACCCCCTCCCCCCTCCCCCCGTTCCTAGCTTCAACCCTTCTAAACCACAAAAGTACTTTCCCTCTCTCCTCCAACCCAGGGATACTCCCCTACCTCCTCCCTCCCTCTCTCCCCCCCCTCCTCTTCCCCCCCGCATTACTTTTCTACTCCAACCCCTCAACTTCCCTTCCCCCCTCCCTTCCCAAACGCTCCATACCCCCTCTCCCCTCCCTCCCCAAGAACTCTAGGCACCCCCTCCCCTCTCCCTCCCAAGCACTCCAGCACCCCTCCACCCAAGCACTCCAGCCACCCCTCCACCCAAGCACTCCAGCCACCCCCTCCACCCCATGCAATACAGACCCCCACCCCACCCCCTCCCACACATACGCACCAAAACACTGATATCAAGACCGAGCGAATATATAATGAATCCGGTGACAGTGAAATAGTATAAAGGTTCCATATTATTATTACCTATGTGGGTCTCCAGAGGGGATAGGGGGTAGGGAGAGAGGGGTAGGGAGATATGGAGGAATAGAGGGGTAGGGAAAGGGTGGAAGGGAGAAAGGGAGAAAAGAGAGGGGGGAAAAGGAGAAAGGACAAGATAGGAGGTAGGGAAAGAGGGATAGGGAGAGATGGAGGGAAAGGGTGGAAGGGAGAAAGGAGAAAGAGAGGGGAAAAGGGAGAAAGCAGAAGGGTAGGAGCAGGGTAGGAAGGAGGGGAAGAGGTAAAGGCACGAAAGGAAATGTAAGGGAAAAGATAACTGGTTGAGGGAAGAAGAAGAAAAGATTAAAAGAGTAAGAACAAAATAAGAAAGGGGAGTCGATGAAAAGGGACGAAGGGAATGAGAAAATTGACAAGGGGAAAGTACAGGAGAACAACAAGAAAAAGAGGAGAAATAAAGGGAAAACATGAGGAAATGGAAGGGTGGTACACAGAAAACGAGAAGTAAAGAGAAGAAGAAAAAAAAAAAAATGTTGAGATTAAGAAAAGTAAGAATATAGTCAGTATTTAACAAACGCAATGTATTACAAAAAAAATCACATCAGCATAAAGAAAAAAGAAAATGAAAAGAAGTAAACAAGGAATTAAAGCAGTAGGAGGAGGAAGAGAGGGAAGAAAGAGGGGAGAGAGGAGAGAGGGGAGAGGGTGGGTGAGGGGGAGAAGGAAGAGAGAGGGGAGAGGCAGGTGAGGGTGGAGAGATAGGGGATGGGATGGGCGTGGGGTGAGAGGGAGGAGAGGGAGAGCGAGGGGGAGGGGGGGGACTCTTCCGTGACCTCTGAGCAGCTATCGACCAGCTGTTAGCCGTCCTCGCCTCCTACCCCCCCCCTCCTCCAACCCCGGTACAAAGGCCTGCCGGCGGCTCTGTCTCTCACCTGCCGGAGTGCCCCCCCCCTCTCTGTCTATCTATCTCTATCTTTTTATCCTTCTATCTATCTTTCTGGCTCTCAGTTAATCTATATATCTATCTAACATTTTGTAAATGAAAGTAAATATTTCCATCTATCTATATATATGTATACATACATACATACATACATACATACATACATACATACATACTATCTATATCTATATATATATATATATATATATATATATATATATATATATATATATATATATATATATATATATATATATATATATATATATATATATATATATATATGCATATATGCATATATCAATCTCTCTCTCTCTCTCTCTCTCTCTCTCTCTCTCTCTCTCTCTCTCTCTCTCTCTCTCTCTCTCTCTCTCTCTCTCTCTCTCTCTCTCTCTTTCTAAGCCGGAGTACCTGCCTGCCCCTTGCCCTCCCGAGAATAAGAGGGAGGGGGGCAGAGGAGGTATAGGACACAGGGGAGTAGCCCACGGGGGGGGGGTGCTCAGAGGGGGTCGGGGGTAATAAGGGAGGGGAGGGGGGCCACGTAGGAGGGGGTGGGTCCTTCAGGGGGGAGAAGTCCAGTGGGAAAGGGGAGGGAGGGGAATGGAGGCAGTAATATGAGAAGAAGAAAAAAA